CCTGGTACAGGCTGCAGTGGGATGGCCCGTAGACAGACTGTGACCAGCAAGGGCCTGCCTGCAAAAGATAGTGCTGGGCCTAGAGGGACAGCTGGGGTTTGCACTCTTTGTGGGGGAAGAAGCTTCTGTGGGTACTACCGCTTGCCCAGTGTTCCCACACCATGCATTTCATAAATATGGAACTTTAGTTGAGTTGGGGGGGGGCAGATGAGGAAACGAGGCTCAGAAGGGGTGCCTGGTCACACAGAGAGGAGGAGGTAGGTGAGCAAGCCTGGCCAGCGAGATGAGGTGTCCGGAGGCCACGCTGTTGAGGATGTGAGGGGACGCCATTCTCTTGGCCATCCCACCTGGTCCTACCTAGGGGATCCTGGCCCATCTGTTTCGAGGAGGCATATGCCCTCTGTGAGTCCCCACAGAGCCCAGCCTCCTGGAGAATATATCCAGGCAGAAAATATTCCAAGCAGCTGCGCCCTATCTCCCTACACCCACCATGTCTCCTGCTCTCCAAACTGCTCCCACTCCCTGTAGAGCCTACTCGGTTCCAACCCAAGGATGAGGAGAGATAGAGGAGAGACTGCTCCCCTGTCCCAATGGTTACCTTGGCGACCACAGTGACGTAGTGGGTCCGGGACTCTCGTAGTCCAGAGTAGCCCAGACTGGAGGCGCAGCCACACGCTGTGGCGGTCCACAGCAAATGGGGAGTGTAGGTTCTATAAGAATTAGGAGGAGGAAGCTGGACCTCAAAAGAACCCAGGCCAGCCCTGGGAATGCCCGCTCTGGTTTCTGAAGGGAGTCCTCACTGCCCCTCGTCACAGGACCTTAGGGCTGAGTTCCTGCTTCAGAGCACTCAGCTTTCCAGGTTCTCCGTCATAGGACTGGGGGCTTGCCCTCCCGCACTCTCAGGCAAAAACACAATGTTCCCTTCTGGGCCTTTGCTTTTCTTCCTGCTCAGCTGGAAAACCAGTTTTCTTAGCCTCCGCTTTGGGCTAAGCTCTGGACTGGAGGGTCCAGCAGGTGGCAACGTCTGCAGAGTAATCTAACCTGGAGGCGGCCAGGGCTTAAGAGTCACAGTGAAGGAGGAAACGTTGGGACCTTCAAACCTACAACAAACAAGTGACTGCGGGCCAGTCCCAGGCAGCCTGGCGTCGGGGGAGAGGGTGTGCAGCCTGAAGGAGGCTGGCAGGGAGCATGGCCTCCGATGCAGTCCCGGGGGCCCTTCTGTCTGGGTAGGGTCAGGCGCTAGTGCCAGGTGCTGTTTTTGGGGCTTTACACGTATGTAATCTTCACAAAAAAGCAACAAGGATGTGTTTTCTCTCTCCCATGTGATACATGATGAAAATCAGCTGGGAAAGTTAGATAACACGCTGAAGGTCATGTGAAGGTGGTGAGGGTGGTGGGGTCTCTCCAGCACTCATGCAGTCCAGGGGACTTCTGGGCCTGTGTTGTAGGGGCATCAGAGCTCTGCTTCTTTTGAGTGTTGCCTCTTCTGCTCTTTTTTCTATTGACCATATTGGGCCTACACAGAGTTCTCACCCATGTGACAGCCCCTGCGGAAAGGGCTGCGGATGTGGAGGCTGAGGGTCCTGGGACATGGAAAGAGGGAGGGGACAGGCTGATTTAGAGGAAGCCAGGATGGGCCCATCAGGGAAGAAGGCTTCTGCCCTCTCACACCCCCTCCTGCCCATCCCAATCCTTCGTGGACTCCTTGGGAATCACAGAGGCACCAACCTAAGGGCCTGGGTGATGGAGGTAGGGGCTGCCCAGGTGTCCCCTCTGGCCCAGCCCCAGGTTACCTACAGGATTGTAGGTCCCACCTTACCTGCAGGAAGTAGGTGACACTCCCTCCAGAGCCCGTGTCCCTGTCACCGCATGGACCTTAAAGATGCTGCTCCCAGCAGGTATGTCCTGAAGGGATCACAGCCACAGGGGAGGATCAGACACACTGACAGTGTTCTCAGGGGAACAGAGGCAATAGGGGCATGCAGCAGTGGGGTCAGGGGAGTGAAGCAGCAAAAAGAGGTGGACAGGTAAGGATAAAGTGTGTGAGCACCCAACGGGGGCAGTGGCTCAGAGGGGGGTGCAGGAAAGAGGGAAAGGGAAATTGGAGCAAAAAGACGTAGTGAGGGGCTGGGGGAGGTGCTCAAGGAGAGAGGGAGAAGGAACAAACCAAGCCCCCAAACAGATAAAGGGTCTACCTATGAAATAGCAATCCATAAAGGAGGAAATGATTCATAACCACAGACATATTTAGGGTCACCGGGGACCATATACCTACATTTTAGAGCAAGAATGAGACATCTTTCTCCTATTGAATTAGCAAACTTTTGGCCAGGCGCGGTGGCTCACGCCTGTAATTCTAGCACTTTGGGAGGCCGAGGTGGGTGGATCACCTGAGGTCAGGAGTTCAAGACCAGCCTGGCCATCATGGTGAAACCCCATCTTAAAAAAAAAAAAAAGAATTAGCAAACTTTTTTTTTGAGATGGAGTTTCACTTTTGTTACCCAGTTTGGAGTGCGATGTCATGATTTCAGCTCACTGCAACCTCTGCCTCCCGGGTTCAAGTGGTTCTCCTGCCTCAGCCTCCTGAGTAAGTGGGATTACAGGTGCCCACCACTATGCCAGGCTAATTTTGTATTTTTAGTAGAAACGGGGTTTCACCATGTTGGTCAGGCTGGTCTCGAACTCCTGACCTCAGGTCATCCATCCGTCTTGGCCTCCTAACGTGCTGGGATTATAGGTGTGAGCCACCACACCTGGCCTGAATTAGCAAACATTTTAAACTTTGAGAATCCAGTGTTGTTAAGGGGCAGAGGAGAAAAACCTTCCGGTTGTGGGGAGGGAGCACACAGGTGCCTTCTGGAAAAGCAATCTGGCAACACCCCGTGGGCATATGTGCTTTTGATACAGTAATTTGAATCCTAAACTGTATCTTAAGGAAAGAATCCGAATTAACAGAAAACAAATGGATGCTCAGAAGTTGATGTATCTCATGACAGCAAAATTTAAAGCACCTTAAATAGCCAAACATCAGGCAATGATTCTGTAAATGATAGACTGTTCACTTGATGAAAGCTATTATAACGATAGTTACCCAAACTTTACAATTAATGAGGAAAATGTTTATATTATACTTAAGTGCAAATAGGATACTGAAAGCACATGTTTAGTATAATCACAACTTTGCCAAACAAACAGAAAAAAAAAAAAACTCTATAATGACAAGAAGACTAGAAGGAAATACACCAAAGTTTAATAATGTCTCAAGTTGGAGGGAGTGAGGGTGATTGTGAAAACTCGTTTCCTTACTTTTCTATGTATTTCACAATTCTACTCTAAACATATATTATGACTACAATGGAAAAAAGCAAATGAATATTCCTTTGGAATAAAAGTGAATGTGAGAGGGAGCAGGTGGTGACAGAGAGGCTCTCCACAGGGCGGTGAGCCATGGCAAGGCCACAGGGCAGCACCAGGGGTAAGCTATGGGCCTGGGTGGGACATTTGGCCCCTCCAGTGGCTCCTCACTCACCTCGGGAACCAGGACAATATAAGGCTCCTGGATGAACCTGGGTGCCTCGTCATTGGCATCAGTCACCAGGATTACAACTTTTTCAGTCACCTGAGAAGGGGCAGAGGGATCAAGAGCCAGTGCAATGAGACCTTCTGAGGAATGAATGGATAGCAACCTCTGATGCTCTTCCCATCCCTCCTCTCTCTCTCCCTCCCTTCCTTCTTTTACTCATTCATTCAACAAACATTAAGCAGCCTCTTAGTGCCAAGCACTGTGTTTCATCCTGGTGGGGATATCAGGGCAAAGATCATCATATTTAAAAACATGTTGTAGGCTGGGTGTGGTGGCTCACGCCTATAATCCCAGCACTTTGGGAGGCCGAGGCGGGTGGATCACGAGGTCAAGAGATCGAGACCATCCTGGTCAACATGGTGAAACCCCGTCTCTACTAAAAATACAAAAACTAGCTGGGCATGGTGGCATGTGCCTATAGTCCCAGCTACTTGGGAAGCTGAGGCAGGAGAATAGCTTGAACCTAGGAGGTGGAGGTTGCGGTGAGCCAAGATCGTGCCATTGCACTCCAGCCTGGGTAACAAGAGCGAAACTCTGTCTCAAAACAAACACAAACAAACAAAAACACAAGTTTTATCTCCTCAAGGTGATAGCAGCAGTATGTCAGGCACTGGGGATGGGGCCCTGCACTGCACCAGCGCACACACATGGCCCGAGTAAATGCATCCGTTAGGGTTGGGAGTGCCTGGGCTGTGGTGGCGGAGAGCAGGGAGGCTTCTCAGAGGAGTGACAATTAATCCCTGAGGGAGGTTTGCCAGGAGGAAAGAGGTAGAAAGGTGTGCCAGGATGAAGAGGCTGCATTATGCAAAGGCAAAGAGGCGTAACATGCATGGTGAGCTGAGAGGACGGAAGTAGATTTATGTCTAGATTATGGCCTGGGTGGGGTGGATGTGGGAGAAAAGGCAGCGAGGCAGATGGTGCCCAACGGGGAGGCCTGGAACACCAGACTGAAGCTTGGTTTTCATCCTGCCAGTGGCAGAGGCCAGCTGTTAGCACTTTCTGAGCCTCAGATTGGGCAGATCTGACTGGCCCATAGTGACAACTTCAGAGGCAATTGGGGTGGGGGAGCCTGGAGGCCAGTGAGCCCCTGGTGTTTGTTAGGTCATCCAGGGAGCACTAATGAGTGCTGAGAGAAAGTAGTTGCTGTGGGGTGCCCAGGTGTTCAGCTCAGGTGACTGAGCAGGAGGCCAAGACCCAGGTGGGAGAGGCAGATGGGGAGGGCGAGTTTCAGGAGATGTTGTGGAATGTGGGTTAGACCCATTAGAAGCTCAGCTCAGACTGCCTGATCTCTCCATTCCTTCTTTTCCCTCCTTCCCCTCTGGCCTTGCTGCAGCCCTCTCCTGTGGGCACTTTGGGCAGGTCTTGCTGGGCCCTGGCTTAAACTTACAGAAAAGCCCCATGAAGGCTGGAGGAGGAATCATGCCAGCCTCCCCCTTCTCAGTCGCAAATACTGCAGACTGCCAGAGACTGCCTTGGGCTTGCACTCACCAGATTCAGGCCGTCAGAAATGCTGATGATGGCTTCAATCTCATCCTCCCGCTGTGAAGCAAAGGGACTGAGTGAGTGAACAGGAGTCTGACACTCCATGGGACCCTCATGGCTGGGTGGAGCTCTCCATGCCCCACGAACTCATCAGAGGAGGCCTGGGTGTGCCAACAGATCCCTGGAGCAGGGTGGGTGGTGGCGGCAGCATGCCTGGCAGAGTAGAAAGCTGCCTCCCCCCCATGCTAGAGACCTTGTTTAGGAACTTTTGTCTCCGGGGTTCTTACAAACCCAGAGACCCAGAGGATCTGTTGGGGCTCCAACAGAAATATTCTCCGCCACAGTGATGAGAGACGCCGACCTTTGTGTGCTCAAGGTGTCATGAAGACTTTTCCTCTTTCTTTTCCTTTTTCTCCCCTTCTCTCTCCACACCTCTCCATAATCCAGGGCTCTGCAGAGGCTCACATCCATGGTATCTCAGTGCTCCCCAGGATACGGTGAGACCTCAATGGGGAGGAGTATTGGAGGTCGCCAGATCCCGTGGGTGCCAGGGAGTGGGTACTGGCAGCACAGTCGGGCTCCCCTGCTGTGTCCCCCAGCAGTCCCTGAGACCTCCCTTTCCTTTCTCTACCCTGTCCTGCAGCTAGTGGATGCGGTCACCAGAGCTGGCAGCATCCCCGCAGCTGAGGTCCAGTTAGTCATATACCAGGTTGGTGTGCAATCTGCAAAATCCCATACCTTGTCACCTGCAGGTTCCCAAGGGGGTAGAGTGGAGGAGCCCTATCAACTCAGACTCACTCCCAACCAGCCTTTCCAGCCCTGACCTGCTCTGAGTTCCTGTGGTTCATAGCACCTTTCCAAGGACAGGCTTGAAAAATCACTTTGTGAGATTTCTTTCAGAAACCTCAAAGTGCAAACAGATTTATTTTTAATGGAACATGCTTAAAAGATGAGCAGGGCTGGCAGGTGCTCATCAAAGGAGCCCACTGTTCTGTCTGTGCGAATGAGGAGCATGAGAGTAAAGCCCGCTGTGCTGATGGGAGGTGGCCCAGAGATCCCACAGAGTGATGTGCCCAGGTGTGCCCCTCATCCCTACTCTGCAGAGAGGTTCTAACCAACGTGTTCTAGGGGAACTTCAGCCCGCCAAGGTATGTCTTGGTGGGCTGACACCCCTCAGGCCTCCCCACACCTCCCTATACCTCTCTGTCCAGTTCTTCAACCAGGGTGATGTTTCCAAAAGTGGGGTCAACAGAAAAGACACTTCTAGCGCTGGGGTCAAAGCTGATGTGGTAGGAGATGGGGTCTCCCTCAGGATCTGTCCCATTCAGGGTGTATACGTGAGAGCCTGGAAGGAGACACAGTGGAGAGACACAGAATCTGAGACCCAACTTTTCCCAAAAGTGGCAGCTGCTCAGGACCAAGGATTCAGCTGCTTATAAAGTGACTATTCAACTCAGTGCCAAAGGTACCGCCCTGAACTGGGCTCTCACTGCTGGCCTCATCCCTGCTGGGCTCTCACTGCTGGCTTCAACCCTGCTGGCTGCTTCTCACTTTATATTTTTATTCTTCACAGCAGTTAGATGTGATGATCAGTCACTTTCCAGATTGTAATCTCTAACACCGGTTACAGAGCAGGTGCAGGTCTTCTGTGCCTAACTAGTGCCTGTGTCCTGCTCGGCCTGGTAATAACTCCTTTCTCAGGATCCAAGATTGAGGGGCTCCTGGGTATAGGGAAGGGGAAATGGGAGCAGCCATTAAGGCAGGAGGGGTGACCCCCAGTGCAGCATTGTCCCTGATGCCCGGACCGGGTTCTGCAGGGATTTCTGAACCGGGTGCCTATTTTCTCCGCTCCCCTTTCCCAGAGATCCCAATGCCCACAGAGTAAGGGAAAGGGAGTGTGAAATCTCTCCTTTCTCCTCCCCTCTCTCTGCATATCTCAGCAAGCTGGATGTTTTTAGGCTGTTTTAAAGCCTAGATACCTGGGGCTCAGGGAGGTGAATACATTTGCTCAGGGTCACACAGCCATAATCGGCAGCACCTTACCGCCTGCTTCCTACAGCTGCCTGCCTCAAGGGGCCACCCTGTCTCTGGGCGGGAGCCCTGGTCTCCAGGACTGGCCAGGCTTAAGTCGCCATGGCAGCGATGACCTTCTTTCCTGCCATTCCCCGGGGGAATTCGGAGAGCAAACAGGGAGACCCCGGGCGCACCCAGCAACTTGGGGCTGGCCGCGTATACATGCTCAGGTGAATCACAGGCTTGGTCCCTGAGTCCAGGGGAACGAAAGCCACCCCTCAGGGAGACCTGTCGGGAGCCAGTGTCAGGGCTACTCACCTACTGGGGTGTCCTCTGGGAGGCTGAACAGAGCCATGTTTCCGTTGGTGCTGCCGACCCCATTGTCGAAGAAGTGCGGGGCGAAGTTGGCCTGGACTGGGAGAAGAACACAGAACAGACGGACACCCAGACACCAGGAGGGAGCTTCGCACCAGCGCGGTCCAGCGCCAGGCCCAGCTCCTGGGCAGGAGGGCGCTCCGTCTCCCCAACCTCAGTGCACTGAGGATGGGGCGCCGCCCAGAGGATGCCCCTCACTCCCCACTCCACCTCCGGTGGGCTCGGGCTTGTCAGGGACACGTAGCATGTGGGCTCTGAGAACTCAGGTAGCACCCAACTCCGCCTTCATCAATGGGCAGATTGCACCTGCGCTCAGAGATGGGTAGTGCCCCAGCCAAGGTCACGCCGCGTGCCAGGGCACTATCCCCTGCCCCACGCAGCATCGGGGCTGCCACCAAGCCTCCAGCTCTGCTTCTGAGCAAGTGCAGAGCTGCGGGGGTACGGACAGCAAACCCCGGAGCTCTAGGACGCCAGCTCTGGAGAAGCGCCCCGGAGCGCCCCACTCCTCCGCTACCCCACTACCCACTACCGAATGTGCCAGGCTGATGGAAGGACTTCCCTGCTCCCGTCCACCAGCCCGAGTCCCACTCTGGAAGTGGTCCAGGACCATGTCGCTGTGGCCACCTGGGTGGCGCCGGCGCCCGCGCCCACCCCCTTCGCCTTCCACGCAGCCGGCGGGGCCCTGCGGCCACTCACCCAGGCAGAGGCGCAGCAGCCCCAGGGCCAGGGCGGCCCACCAGCCGCGCCTCATGTCTCCGCCCGCGCGGAGCGTCGCCTGCCGCGAGGCCCAGCGCAGGGGCGCCGAGCATGCCCTGGGCCCGCGGGGAGTGCAGAGACGACAATGGGGGTAGCGGCGGCGGGAGGGGGCGCGGGGAGGGAGCGGCGGGTGGCGCGAGGGCGCTAAGAGGATGACACGGCTCGGATCCGCTCCTGCCCTGACGAGACCAATTAGCTGCGCAGAGCGGAGGGACCAGCTCCCAGCCGCGGGCGGGGGCAGGGGGGCGTGACCAGAGGACTCCCCGCCCACCACGCCCCCTTTGCTCGGCGGCCCGGTTTCCCGACAGGACACTGTTGAAGAGTGGCGTGTCTTTCCCCCAAGTAGTCCTGAGCAGGGCGCTGGAAAATTGGGCTTTCCCAGGGTCCCTAAGTCCTGGTGGGGCTCGGCCTTAGCAGGAGTTTTTTTTTTCCTCAAGAACTTCCTCTGTGACTTTCAGTGGCTTAGCCGTCCTCTCTGAGCTAAGCGTTCCTGAAGAAAAGTTAGCGGAGAGCCCGGAGGGCCTTGCTTTAGCAGTCTAAGCAGGTTCCGTGTGCCACGTGAGACCAGAAGCTAAGAAAAAGGGTGATGGGTGGGCAGCAGATGGTGAGGGGTTAACAGGACTCCCTCTCTGTGATCTCAACCCATTCCTGCCCTGGCCCCGAAGACGGACCAACTCTCCCAAAGGGTCTGATCTGTGTGGTGGGCAGCAGGAAGGACCCTCAAGTCTCCACCAGGGTGAGAGGCAGTTCTGCTCCCCATCCCCAGTCAGTGCCCAGTCTGGGACCATGATGGAGGCTGACCCACTTTTCAAACCTTCCAAGGAAGAGTGAAGGGCTTGAAGGCAGAGTTAAGCCCCCTCTCAGGACAGACTTGCACAAAGCTGGCCAACATAGATCTGAATGGCCCGGGAAGCATGAGCTCTCATCTCTAGAGGATATTTACACAAAGCAAGGCACTGCTATTGGGGTCCTGGATGCTGGTAACTTGGAGACACAGGTAAGCACAAGAACCTTTTTGGTTGCTGGTAAAGCTCCCTGGGCCAGACCTCATTCTCCCATTTTGACACTGGAGCCTGCTTGGAATGCAGCCTGTCCTCCTTCTCCTGGTCAGGCTACTTATGGGGGGCACAGGGTGGTCACTTCAAGCCCAAGCCAGGTCACTTCCCAGGGTGTCTTTGGGCAGATGTGCACACAGATAGAGAATATCCCTCTGTGTGCTCCCAGGAGAGGTCCTCACAGCTGAGGTCTCAGCATTTCCCCGCAGCCCATCCCTTTGAGGGAACACAGCATCCCCCAATCCCCTGGTCTAGCCCTCCCTGATCTACTGTGAACAAGGGTCAGGAGTTTGCAGAGAAGATGAATCAGTGGTCTTAGAATGTGCAGCAGTTTTCAGGACTAACTGGCCAAAACCCTTCTTGTTGAGTTTCCTCAGGCTCTTTTGCTGAAAAGACACACTTTAAATCGCACAGACATTTCTGAATCTCTGCTTCGCAAAATGCTGAGACAAAGCTAAGGTAAGCATTCTGCAAGTACCATATAGGGATGCGGAGACTGAGGCTTGCTGTGGATTTCCCGTGAGCCAGAGGCAGAGCCAAGGTTTACTGGAGCAGATGTCTTGGTGTGCTGAGAAGAACCAGCTCTCCCTGGGTCTTGTTAGCCCTGCTCCTCACCAAGAGGTTCTAGGGCTGTTGATTTCTCTCTCCTCAGTTCCCTCAGTCAACAGCCATGCACTGGAGAGGGAAGGGGAAAGAGCAGGATGCTTGCCATGTGTTGGATTGTGTTGGATGTGCGCTGATGCATATTCACCCTTACTATCTTATTTGACCTGCACCTCTCTCCCAGTGTGATTGTCTCTGCTTTACACAGGAAGGAGATGTCCTCATTGGCTGTGTCAGCCTAAGCAAGTGACTTATTGCCTTTGAGGAGCAGAGCTTGGATTCACATACAACTTCGGCCAACTCCAATCAAGGTTCAAACTCTTTTTTTTTGAGTTGGAGGTTCACTCAGTCACCAGGCTGGAGTGCAATGATGTGATCTGTGATCTCGGCTCACTGCAACCTCCACCTCCCGGGTTCAAGTGATTATCCTGCCTCAGCCTCCCAAGGTAGCTGGCATTGCAGGTGTGCACCACCACGCTCAGCAAATTTTGTTGTTGTTGTTTTTTTTAATAGAGACGGGGTTTCACCATGTTGGCCAGGCTGGTCTCAAACTCCTGACCTCAGGTGATCCACCCACCTCAACCTCCCAAAGTGCTGGGATTACAGGCATGAGCCACTGCACCTGGCCTATTCAAACCCTTTTCATGGCAGAAGTAGATGATCTTGAAGCTACTGAAGCTTCAGCTTCTGGGTCTCTCACACATTACACATTCCTTCCGGAGCCCCAGTTTTGCATTTTACTTTGTATTTTCTTCTTCTTTTTAGAGACAGGGTGTTATTATGTTGCCCAGGCTGGCCCTGAATTCCTGGGATCAAAAGACTCTGCTGCCTCAGCCTCCTGAGTAGCTAGGAATACAGGCAGCACCATTACATCTGACTTCTATTCTTTTTCTGAGAAAGACCCTCCACACCCCCCACTCCAACTCCCGCTACTTCCTTCCATTGTATCGGGTTCAGATCTGCTAATGTGACCAGCTGCTCGAGTTTGCCTGGGACTGAGGATTTCCAGCGATGCAGGACTTTCAATGCTAAAACCAGCAAAGCCTTGGGTAACCTGGTATTTAGCAGTCACCCTAGATACAACCCTGTCCTCAAAAATCTCCTAAGGACCTGGGGAAACAGCAGTTCTTTATGGTGTTTCGCACCATGGACCCTGATCTTGACTTTGCTGTGTGGAGGGTCTTGGTTTGTCAAGGCTCGGAAGGGCTCATCTGCCATGAGACATGAGACTTGGCCCTTACCTACAGAGCCTGGGCAGCCTCAGGCCCACCAGTCACCCCATCCTCCAAACGCGCGTCACCCCTGAAGGGTGGTGAGCTCCCTGTCTCCTGGGGCCTCCCTGCCATGGTACCTGCAGTGCAGTACGACACAGTGTCACCTTAAAGTCAGCTTCTGACAGCTCTTCCTCTGGTGGACTTATGGCAGCTGCTCCAGCTATTGATAAGCGACAACTCTCGAGTCAGCTGTTAGCCTGGGCATGCATGTGTCTAACTCAGTCTGCCAACACTCTAACTCAGGCTCATGTGCACGTCCATATCTTTGCCTTTATCTAATCCACCTGAGTGTACCAACCCACAGCCCCTTGCCCACGTGCATAGACACAAATTCACACAGCTGCCCACAAACATACACACGTGTTATAGCCCCATTTGTACACACATACACACATATCCAACAATGTGTGAATCCACTCACATCTTATCTCCACACGTAGATACATGTGCATACCTGCACTGACAGCAGTTGGGCCAGGTGATACTGAGGACGTGGTGAGCAGGAGGTGCCTGCAATTCAGGCTCACTTCCTAACAGTATGTATGAGCAGGAAGCCAGTTCAGGTAGATAGTCGCAACAGGTTTCTAGTGCCCTGCTTCTGCCCCAGCAGTCTGAGACAAGGAGGGTGCGACCGTTTAGCAGACTGACCTCTGTCCTGGCATGTTGGCATCCTGAGCTGTTCTGTCCAGAGTTTCAACAAAGTGAAGCTCATGACAGGAAAGTCCTGGAAAGGCAGAGTTTGGTACTGAGCCTGACAGCATAGGGTCAGGGGATCTGAGTCAGTCTGGATGTGTCAACTGCATACTGGATATATCCTCTCTGGAGACAATTCCGTCAGGTACTGTCCCAACCCAGGTGAGGTCCTGAAGACTCTCCTCTACAGGTCTGGGCCAGGATGTCCTCACCTGGCTGGAAATTGGGAGTCCTTCCCCGCAGCAGTGGGCTCTGAAGTTAGTAGCTCAGCTGTGGGCTCAGTGTGCCTGGGGAACCTGGATACCCACCTACTGTGACATGTGTCTTCTCCTGACCCCTTGCTGTACCCAGGCCAGGTGTAGAGTGGCTGCCTCAGTTTCCTCTGACGTGAGGATGGGGTCCTTCTCCTATCTGCCTGAGGCCTTGCCTATCTCTTTAACTGAGGGACTCTGTGGTGCCACCTATCTCCTTGTACCTATCTAATAGGTTAGTGGTCCAGTAACCATTTTGCCCACTGGCCCTGACTCCTGGTTTGCCCACACAGGTGGGCAGAGTCTCCTCTAACCCTGACTTTCCCTGTTTCTACCCCACAGTAGTCTCCTTTGCTTTTTCAGCCTGCCACATGGCTGAGCCTGAGTAGAGAAACACATCGAAGGTCTCTCTCTTTTCAGATGATTCTTTTTCCCAGCATACCTCTGCCTCCAGGCAGAACTGCTTCCTACTTGAAACCTCAACAGAACTTTTAAAAGACTTGAGTAGGTCTGACTCAGTGGCTCATACCTGTAATCCCAACACGTTAGGAGGCTGAGGTGAGAAGATCACTTAAGCCCGGGAGTTTAAGACCAGCCTGAGCAACATGAGGAAAACCTGTCTCTACAAAAAGAAAAGAAAAGAAAAATTAGGCTGGGTGTGGTAGCTCATGCCTGTAATCCAAGCACATTGGAGGCCAAGGCAGGTGGATCACCTGAGGGCGGGAGTTCAAGACCAGCTTGACCAACATGGTGAAACCCCATCTTTAAAAAATAAAAAACAAACACGTAAGGCTGGGCACGGTGGCTCATGCCTATAATCCCAGCACTTTGGGAGGCTGAGGTGGGTGGATCACGAGGTCAAGAGATCGAGACCATCCTGGTCAACATGGTGAAACCCCGTCTCTACTAAAAATACAAAAAATTAACTGGGCATGGTGGTGTGTGCCTGTAATCCCAGCTACTCAGGAGGCTGAGGCAGGAGAATTGCCTGAACCCAGGAGGCGGAGGTTGCAGTGAGCCAAGATCGCGCCATTGCACTCCAGCCTGGGTAACAAGACTGAAACTCCATCTCAAAAAAAAAAAAAAAAAAGTAAAATAAAATAAAAAGAAAGGAAAAATTAGCTGGGTGTGATGGCATACACCTGTAGTCCCAGCTACTTGGGAGGCTGAGGTAGAAGATTGCTTGAGCCTGAGAGGTTGAGGCTGTAATGAGCCATGGTTGCACCGCTGCACTCCAGAGTGAGGGCAGTGAGACCTTGTCTCAAAAAAAAAAAAGGGCCAGGTGCAGTGGCTCATGCCTGTAATCCCAGCACTTTGGGAGGCCAAGGTGGGCAGATCACCTGAGGGCGGGAGTTCAAGACCAGCCTGACTAACATGGTGAAACCCGTCTTAAAAAAAAAAAAAAAAACACTTTTGTGTAGTCTGCTTGCATGTCTCCTTTCATTCATAGTTTGCTTTAGCATAGGGCCTGGCACAAAATAGTTTCTCATTCATTCAACAATGAATGGCTGAATGAATAGAGAAATATATATATGTGCCCAGGCAG